AAGGAGATTTCTTCCAACAATCGGTTCTCTGAACTACTTAGAAAGTTACCAACCGGTTCTCCCGAATAGGTGCGAACTGGCTGAATCTCACCACTGCTCCGACACAAGTGTCTTCCTGCTCAGGGGCTGAAAATCCTGCTTCGATTTCAGCAGGGAGGATTTTCAGCTCCTGAGCAGAGAGGCAGCACAATAAGGTACAGTAAGGCGTATGAGGTGACTTAGGGTGGAGAAGGGTGTGGATTTTGACAGGTCTCCTGAGTAGAGACACATTTGTGTACAGTTTGCACAGGAGCTCCTAAGATCTTCCTCACCCGCTTGAAGCACCCCATGCTCCTTACCTGGCACTCTGTCCTATTAACAACATGTTAAGATTGCTTAAAGATCGCAACCAGGAGTGTCAAAATTGTGGTCTCTGAGCAAGGTGATCATGTGACATCTTGGTTAACTACCGCTTTGCTCAGTGATCAAGATTCTAGTTCCAACTGTGGTTATTAAGCAAGGATTGCCTGTGTAGAGATTGCAAATTAGACTGGATTATATTGGGATTTGTACACTAAATTCTGCAATATACAGTAATTTCAAAGGAAATCGGGGGGGAAAAGATACCTTTTAAGGAACAACCGGAAGAAAACCTGAAATCCAATTGTATTTGTTCCTGGGATGAGTACAGACTGTCTCTGAAGAAGCAAATTATTTGGGCCATTTAGGTACAGATGGAGAAGCCTATCTGCCTGTTGCTATAGCTGCTAATCGAGTTCAGGCCTTGTCTGTTCTATTTAATCATGGTTCTTGCATCTTCATGCAACATGACAATAAAAACAGAGGAAATGGAAATGGATTCTACCATCACCAAAAAGCCTTTAAAAATACATTCTCGGTGTCTTGCTGCTTTAACCAGGTACAATCTAAAAAGGAAATGTTTCTCTGTGGGATTATAGGAAATGAAATGAAATTATGAAACAGTGATTATGAAATTTGTAGATAATAAAAAAAAATGTGTACATGCAATTTAATATGTTTTATTACAAATACAAGCAGAATAGGCAGGAGACCAAATGCAGTGAATCAAGCACATGCCAGACAATTTCTAAAATTATAGTTTAAAAACTGCAGTGAAACAATTAGAAAATTGTGTGTTTCTCATTGTGGCATCCAAGAGAGTACCTTTTCCAGTACTGTTTTACCCTTTTCAACTAGAGAAAGTAAACTTTTAAAGAAAAACAATCATGAGAAAGGCCTTCAGCCTTAATTCCTGTTACTTGCAATATAATTATTATTGCATAAACATTCATCAAGGATATTCCCAAGTTACTTTTCAGAATGAATGTACTTTACAAGGCAAATCCTAAGGCTTTTCTCGCCGAGAAATTCACATGCCATGTTAAATTACTCTGGTGGGCAAAGAGGCCACTTTAGATTTAGAGAATATTTCTAGTTAGCGCTGGCCAGAATTTGACAATCACAACCAGTACTTTCAAATTCAAGTTGGTGTTAAGTGGAAATCTCAGTGGCTTTGGGCTCGACGGAAATATTTAACCACAGAAAAGCCACTGGGTGGTCTTAAGGAATCATATTGAATGAGAGTGTTGGCGGTTTATTCTGCCACGGGAACCAGTTTCAGATCCTGTTTGCTTTAAGTTTACTTCTATTGAGTATCAAAATTGATAAGAGAAATCAATTATATACTTCTGAACAACAGAGTCAGCGTGAAACTAATGAATATTATGGTGAGTGCTATATTTTGAACTGCATTCACTGCATAAGTCAGCAATAGTCAGCAAAAACTAGCACTCTGAAATTCTAGGATTAATCATCACATTGACTCTTTGGAATGATAAAACCTGCCATGTTGCAATCTGTGAATTAAATATTATGTATTACAGCTATCAGATATAATATTAAAAATATTGCATGGTTTGGTTTCTTGGACTAAAACTGTTTTATTTAAAAATAAGACGGTGAATGACAGCAATAATATGCATTTTTTATTTCTGCCATATTTATTAAAATTAATCCAAGATAGATTGATTATCTGTCTAAAATTTTACATACAGTACAGGGGTGGGTTTCAACCGGTTCGCGGCAGTCCCCGCGAACCGGTTGGTCGGCGAACCCGGAAGTAAGTAACTTCCGGGAACGNGTTCTCTGAACTACTTAGAAAGTTACCAACCGGTTCTCCCGAATAGGTGCGAACTGCCTGAATCCCACCACTGCACACATTTATTAAGTTAGTAACACAGTTGTAAAGTGAATGTGGCTTCCCCATTGACTTTGCTTGTCAGAAGATCGCAAAAGGGGATCTTGTGACCCAGGGACACGGCAATCGTCATAAATATGAGTCAGTTGCCAAGCGTCTGGATTTTGATCACGTCACTACGAGGATGCTGCAATGGTTGTAAGTTTGAAAAATGGTCACCGGTCACTTTTTCCAGTGCCGTTGCAACTTTGAACCATCATTAAATGGACTGTTGCCTGTCGAGGTCTTGTAAACCTGTAGTTTGTAGTGCAATGACTAAAAAATGTAACACAGGAATGAGGAATACGTTAAATTTGCATCATACCGATTTCTTATTGTAGTAAATGTTTTGTAAAATTGGGTTGCCTTGTATCGTGCTGAGGTTTGTATCTTGTACAAACCTAACCTTTTGTAGGCGAACAAAGGAAGATTACTATTCTAGGACCAATGTTTGTTGGCTTCACCATTATGAGATAAGATTTAATGTGACCGAAGGACATATCATATTTTTTGGAGTATAAGACACACCTTCCCTCCCCCCCAAAGAGGGTAAAAATCTGAGTGCATCTTATACACTGAATATAGCATTTTTGGCCTCCCAAAACAAGGCCCCCTTTGCAAAAATTGATGTGCATAGGGTTTGGGAGGCCTGCAAAGTGCTCCTGGGGGCTGAGGAGGGCAAAAACAAGTAAAAAAACGGGTCTGTTTTTGCCCCCCCTCCCCCAGCCTCCAAGAGCATCTACAAGCCTCTCAAAGCCTATGCATACTCTGTTTTGTGCAAAAAACAGGGCCATTTTTGTGAAAAATGGGCCCTTTTTTGCCCGTTCTCCCCCAGCCCCCAGGAGCACTCTACAAGCTTCCCAAAGCCTATGCATGCCCCATTTTGTGCAAAAAAAACCAGGCCTGTTTTTTGCTCGTTTTTGCCCCCCCCCCAACTCCCAGGATCACTTTGTAGACCTCTCAAACTCTGCATGCCCCGTTTTTTCACAAAAAATGAGGCATGCAGAGACTTTGGGAGGCCTGCAGAGTGCAAAAACCTTTTTGTTAAAATTTACCTTTTCCAAGTCTTAGTGTGTCTTATACTCCGGTGCATCTTATAATCCGAAAAATATGGTAAATATAATGAATAAGACGGTTAACGTTTTAAAAGTCTTACTATCTGGTATTGGCTTAGGCTGAGAACTCTTCAAACGCAGGGAAGGCCGGAAGCGTGTTCGGTCATTGAAGCTCCAACTCTTTTGTACTTTTGTTGGGCTGCCCTCTGCGGTAATATCCGTACTTGGCGATCTTCTGTCCCCAACTGAAGATTGTCTGCCCTTGATACTCTGGCCTCTCGGGCTAGCCATCCGCACCCGTTCTTTAAAGCTCAGCTTCTGACTGTGGAAGCAAAAAAACATGCATTTTTACATCATTCACATTGCTTTATGTCTCATGCTACCGTTACAGATGAAGAAACACGTTCAGCTGCATGTCTTTGGATGCAGATGTGAATGTATTCCATGTGTTGAACTCCCTTCCCTCCTCCCCCGCTCTAGTAAAAAAATAATAATATTTGCGCTGGTCAGTTCTTGATACAAAAGGAAGTAGGAAAACTTCAAGAATCACGGAAATCCCCATACCTGGGAAAGTTCACCAAGCTGCAGTATTAAGACCAAATACACAGTGAAATTAATACTGATTGCAATAAAAATAATACATATTCCAGACATCATAAAGAATTGGAAGAACAGGAAAATATGTGACTGCCTCTCCTTGATAACATAGTGGCTCCCATCTACACTGTGGAATTTTTCTGCCTTGATACCAAAGCCTTGATATTAGGGAACACTTCTGTGAGATGGCCAGCAAGATAAAATGGATGGATGGATGGATGGATGGGGATCCATAAAAGTGCATTTCTTATAGATTGAATCACTTTCTTTATAATATGATAGGTATTAGATATTTCTTCGGAGGAATGTACTACTACTGAGAAAAAGATCCTATATTACAGCAAGAGTGAAACAAAATCAGCTAACAAAAAAAATATCAAATTTAAACTTAGCAAAGTTTCAGCTATAAATTTTGGGCAGCTCTAACTATGCTTTTAAATTGTACAACATAGGCTGTAAGCTGCTCTACAATGGAATCAATAGTTTTCAAGTGCCATTATTTTTGCATGCAGTTTGTTAGACAAGCAAGATTAAAGTTATTATTCATGCACGCTCCCAAACATGACATTTTCCAACAGCCCACAGACATTAGCAAAGACTACATTTCAGATTTCGTATCACCCAAAGCCCAATGCATACACAGACATAGACCATATATTACTAAAACGCTCATGTTTATTGATTTGTTTCCTCGTGTTTGCTCAAATGGTGCATCAACTCATATTTTTTGAACCAAGGTACCTAAAATCTACTAACTTCAAGAATGCGTAAAAAAAAAAATCTGGGGCCCATTATTCCTGTGGATTTGCAATTTCCATGACAGACCAGTTTTATTCACAAAGTTTTGGTTGTTGCGATGTCCACCTGGTCACATGATTGTGATTTCCTGCCAAGTTGCCAAAGTTAATGGAGAAGACGGTAGAAAGTTGGAAGTCTTTACCATTATAAATGCTTTTTCACCCAACTGTGGTCATTCTGTTTATGTAAATAAATATTGACTCATTATTAAAGTTTGTTTGCCACTAAAATGGTATATTTATGATATATATTCTTCTTACATGATCACAAGACCCTGGGCAAGAGTTTTTTAAAAATGGACTTCTTCTGGTCACATGAGACTAAACTACCTTTTTCTCAAGAATGGCCCAATGGATCTAACAAAACTCAGAACAAGTAACAGAAAGTCTATCATTAAGTCTATAATTAAGTCTATCATTAAGTCCATCGTTAAGTCTATCAGTAAGTCTATCATTAGAAAGAGTGGCTCACAGAAATATAATATTACATTCTGGGAAAAACAATCATGAGAAAGGCCTTCAACCTTAATTTCTGTTACTTGCAATATAATTATTGCAATCTGGATACTTGGCAAAGCATTTGTTGCACCTACAAATGGTTGTCTACACCCTGTGATCATGTGAATCACATTTGCAATCTCCTACGCCAGCTTCTCTAGAAAATCAAGGAGGAAGACATCAGGAAAGGTTTCTGTGGACTGACTGAAAAAGTTCTCTGCTGAAATCCAAGCGGGATTTTATCATGGAGTATTTACAGCCTGGGGTATCTCCTGCCAGAGACAGGATGATTTTTTCTCATTTCTGAGGGCTGGCTGGAAAAGGCCTGTGGCTAAAATCGAAGCAGGATTTCAGCCAGGGAAAATTTACAGCCTCAGAGTGGAGAGGCAGCACGATAAGATAAGGACATTGGGTACCTGGGGCGGCCGGGGGGGGGGAGGCCCAGTAGAGGCTCTGACACAGTGGTGAGATTCAAATAATTTAACAACCGGTTCTCTGCCCTAATGACCATCTGGGTAGGTGGAGCTTGGTGGTCATATGACCATGTGGGCGTGGCCAACTCAACATTACTCAGGTCGATGGGCGCTTCGCCTTAGCTGTTACAATGTAATAAGGGTTAACCGGAGAGGCAGTTTCTCTAAGCAGGGCAATAAAGATTAAATCTAGAAACAACACCCCAATGTTTCCTTCCTGCCTTCCTTACAGGATTAGCCCTGTAAAGCAGAAAAAAAAAAACAAAAGAAGATTTCTTCCAACAAC